TGCTGGAACGAATTAATTTCGTAAGTAGAGGTACCACTGTATTTGCAATGTGATCCCTGGTGCCACTTCCTTTCCTGTACCCTGCTTGGACCTCTGGTATTTGTCTTTCCATGTGTGGTTGCAGTATTTTGAGCATAATTTTGCTCGCATGGGAGATTAGTGTATTACTAAGTTCTATTAGGGATAACAGGAACTGTGGCCATACATTTTTCACCATTACTGTGCTGGATTGCTGTTGTACTCACACACCACAGCTTTTTGGGAGTTAGGATTTATGAGAAACAAGATTCCCATGGAGATAGTATTCAGAGACCTATAGTTGTGTTAGGGCAAATGCAGATGGCCCATTTGGGATGGCAGAGAGCTGCCCCTGGGAGCAGTGGATTGGGGCCACTGCAGCCCCACACCATGGCCCCGATCCTTCCTTTTGCTGCCCCTAAAAGAGCAGCAAAATGCCACTCCTTTTAGGGGTGGCAAAAGGCTACCCTAAGAGCCAGCACTGCGGTTCTTCCGCGCCCTTTTGGCACAGCATGTCTGCATGCTGTGTGGGAAGGGCATACTGATGCTGTGCGCCATGTGTATGGCCATGCAGCATCAGGACGGTTTCAGGGTGGGGTTTGGGCAGCCGGCGTGCGGCTACTCCACCCCAACTCTACTCACAGGCCACCCTTTTGGGCCAGTCTGCAACAGCCCTTAGTCTAGAACAGGGGTAGGCAACCTTTCCCCTTTAAGGGCCGAGGGACTTCAGCTCCCAGAAGCCTCAGCCATGTTGGCCAATAGTCCCATGTTGGCCAATAGCTCCTGGGATTCTGGGAGCTGAAGTCCCTCGGCCCTTAAAGGGGAAAGGTTGCCTACCCCTGGTCTAGAATATTAGTATGCAGAGGGATCTTGTAGCTTCTATGAGACTAAAGAAGTTGTAGCATAAGCTCTCGTAGACTTGGTCTGCATCATCAAATGAATGGAGTAAACTGATGCCTCAAAAGGAGCTTTATAATGAGGCTGTGGAAAAACAAAACTTATGGATATGGAGCTATAAGATCCCTTTACACAATTCTCATGGTATCTGGAGAGCTTACTAGATATATTTCTATCTAGTTCCAGCCTGGGCTTGGAACCAACCAAACCTAGTGGGATCTTAACAGGTACAAGGGATTATTAATTACTCTGACATTAATATTCCTGAACCTCTCAAAAGCTTCCAGTACTACCATTAATCATAAGTGGGTTTTGAGGGAAGGAGGGAGAGAGAACAAACTGTTGTCTATTATTATTTTTAAAGGTTTTATTGTTTTGTTAAATAAAACTAATAATGAAAATATTTCTACAATGTTAGCAGAAAATGTCTCAGTGGTTTAAATCCTAGTACAAAAGAAGCAACTGTGTAATCAAGAAGAGACCAGTGTTTGCCTGTCAATATCTCCAAATTATCATCAGGTCAGCCAGATGTTGGAAAGCTGAAATGCAGGTCAAAGGAGAATCTTAATCAAATGTTCTGTTAGGAGTCAGCAAAGGCAAGCACTGTGACCCTGGCTCATGTGCTTTGGTCTTTCAACCCAGACAAAACAAAATGATAAATTGTGCACCTCATAGGATTGTAGTTTGGATAAAATGGGAAAGAGTTTAATTTGTTCATTAATTTATTGGTTTGATTTATAATTTGTCTTTCTCCCAAAACAGTGACATGAGGTAGCTCATAGTAAGATTAACTTTTTTTTAAAAAAAAAAAAAAGGTACAGTTAAAACTACAGAAAATTATTGGCTGCAGTCCTATAGCTAATATTTAGAGTTATTCCCACTCCTCAGAAGGCATTTCTGAAACTCCTGGAGTCTGCAGCTATGGATGTTGATTTGCTGGAAGAGAGAAAAGACTGGGCAGTACCCAGCTGCAGATGGCTGCCAGGGAGAGATTGTTGAGGCCACCCTCCTAGAACTTGACTGGAGATGCAGAAGAGTGAAGTTCCCTTTCTTATCCCAGCTGGAGAAAGACAGCTGGGGCCAGGCATTGCCTGAATGGTTCCCCTTACCTCCCTCCCCCACCCAGCAATACCTGGCCATGACAGCATTATGAGTACTTGAAAAATCCTAGGGGAGGTGAAAAATGCACAATATTTTTTTTCAAAATGTCCAAAACAGGGTTATTATACATGTGCATATGACACAAGCTCTGCCTATAATATTAAGGCATATTTAAATGAAAAATTAAGAGCATGCCAATAAAAAAATATACATGAGCCACCTGTCAAAATTCCCATCCATCATAGACAGTCAAATTCCAAACCCTGCTTTACGGGGGGGGGGGGGGGGGGGGGGGGGGGGAATCACCTCTGGTTATCAGTGGAAAGACAAGGCAGGAGGGGGGACCAGACTTGGTAGGGAGTTCTACCAGGAATATTCACCCAGAAAACATCAGAGCTCATTAAAGGAAAGGTGGAATACAAATGTAATTATTAAAAAAAAATGAGGTGATCACCACACACTAATGATAGGGTCAGCAGAGATAGGAAATGAACCATAGAACAGACCAGGCAATAACTGAATTGCAGGTCCATATTCTGCTACTGCAAAACTTCATCTCAATGGCTGTGGCGATGGCAATGATCACTATTTCTGTGCTATGACTATCACTATTATAAATACAGGTTGAATATCCCTTATCCAAAATGCTTGGAACCAGAAGTGTTTTGAATTTTGGATTATGATTTTTATTATCATTATTATTATTTTATTGGATTTTGGAGTACCTGTGCTTGTATATACATATATAATAAGATATCTTGGAGATGGGACCCAAGACTAAACACAAAAATCATTTAAATTTCATATATACCTTATACACATAACCTGAAAGTAATTTTATACAGTATTTTCAATAATTTTGTGCATGAAACAAAGTTTGTGTATACTGAACCATCAGAAGAAAAAGCGTCACTATCTCAGCCACCCATGAAATAAATGTTTTGACTTTTTTTTTTTTTTGAATATTTCAAATTCTGGAATTCTAGATAAGGAAAACTCAACCCTTTGTTGTTGTTGTACAGATCATTTCCAACTTATGGTGACCCTAAGGCAAACCAATCATGGGGTTTTCTTGGCAAGATTTGTTCAGAGAAGGTTTGCCATTGCTTTCCCCTGAGGATGAGAGAGTGTGACTTGCCCAAGGTCACCCAGTGGGTTTCATGGCTGATCTGGGAATTGAACTCTGGTCTCCAGAATCATAGTCCAACACTCAAACCACTATGTCATTCTGGCTGTAATACTATTTATTCATTTATATCCCACCTTTTCCCCAAAATTGTGACTGAGGGTGGGTTACAAAATTAAACAAAATACAGATAAAAGAGCATCCAGAGGCAAAAGTAAAATAATAATAATAATAATAATAATAATA